GAGAGAGAGAGAGAGAGAGAGAGAGAGAGAGAGAGAGAGGGTGGAATGGGCGTGGGTCGCGTTTGGAGTAGCTTGAGAAATTGGGGTTGTTCCCCACAGCTAAAGCCAAGTTGGTCCTCATCCGTGTACCCCATCAGCATGTGGAATAACACATGCAATACAAACGAATAATTTGGGTGAAGATAACACATGAAATGAGAACATATTCCAAATAGAATTGAAATGAGATCATATTCCAAACTATAGACATATGTTCCCCACAGTTAAAGCCAAGTTGGTCCTCATCCGTGTACCCATCAGCATGTGATGAGGGTTGCTTTACTCCATGCCTTCCCTTCCCTTGAGCTTTAGCACGTGGTTTGCACCACCACCCACCAGCCTCGTCGGAAAAAAAAAGGCCCCTCTCCACAGTTGTTTTCACTTCATTGCTGGATGGGCGGACCACTTGCCCAATTTGCTGTAAAAGTCCAAGCCACACAAACCCCAATCTCCGGTGTCCTTTTTACCCTTTCCATGTACCAACCGCTCTCTCCCCCCCTCTCTCACTTTCCTAATTCAAAATCAACAAGCCATGTTCCCTCAACATGGCTAAATACTGGGAGCCATACCAAACTAACCAACATACCACCATAATTCATTGAGATAGAAAATTTTGTCTGGCTAACGTTGAACCACATACAAGAGCCTCCAGGCTAACGTTGAACCACATACTTTTAACCATTTACACATACCAGCTTGGGTATTGACAAAACAAAGTAATACCCCGACCAAACTCTCAGGCTAGCCCAACCACTACAAAACATAAGTGAAGAATATTATACATCACTCCAACCACTACAAAAGCTAACAAGACCACCTCTGAAGTCCATTCTCAATAAGAAGCCGGAGACAAGAACGATAACAATGGCTGAGAGCATTTTCGGCAGCCGTATGTTATTTGATAGCAAACTTAGGACCAACTGTGTGACTAACCCTCCTGCCATATCATAGAGCATATAAGCAATTCATTTCCTAATACATCCACATAACAATGCCTCAAAATATTCAGAATATTTTTTTCAAAGCAAAGAGTTGCATGAGAAATAAGAATTTAAGTACAATAATATTAGGAAAGTAACTCAACCTTTTAAAATAAAATGTCAAGATACAAATAGCTACCTTGCAGGAAGGTCACATGCATTTGTCACTTTAGCCATTCCAGTCCGACACCCACCCTGTCAAATAGAATTGAAATGAGAACATATTCCAAACTTTTTAGATATGTTGAGCAAATGCGCAACCAAAAATACCAGTGAATTTCGGTGAAGATAACACATGAAATACAAATAATAATGCATAAGGACAAAATGCATAAGAACAAAATAAAGTCAGAATGCTAGTATTACAAAACTATTTCTACAACCTTATAGAATCTTTTGGGAGCGGAAACTAATGCTCACTTGTCAATGGCTCGTACAAGGATAACTCTGATGAATATAGTATTGAATCATAAGACTAACTTTTTCAACAAGGTCCCAAATGAAGTTTGTGAACTAAACTCCAAACATGGTATAACAGAAACTAATACATGCGTCACAAAAAGATGCTACAATTGCCTCATGTTTCCAACAATGGGTTATCATTGAACTAGTAATTCAATTCACAAGAATTTAACTACTACACTTTGGTATCAAGGAGCAAAAACTTAAGGTGATGCGAGTCACTCTTACCATCAACTCACTTCTGCTGCCTTCTCATTCCTTAGCGTACGACGTATTTTTTCCTTAGCACTGTAAGAGGAAGATAAATTCATATGTTAGCATTTAAATTGAGGCTAATACAATTGTAAATCAAATACATCAATAGTAATGAATTTAATACAATTTCCTATCAAATTAATGTAAAGGTAAATAGTTGTAGCTATCACAAACGAACGACGAGTAGTTCCTTTTGTCATGCCCATTGCCATTGCAGACTGCACATTTCCATTTTTTTGGCTTCCATCCCTAAGATCGAGGTTTCATTCTTTTAGTGGCCGGTCGTCCCTTTGTCCATACTCGTGGAGGTTCAAGGACATTACGACAATGGTTACTTCCACTTGGTGTGCTACTACAACTAGCAGAATTGGCATCTTCATTGACATGGATCATGGCATTATCCTGTGGATCTCTCTTGGACACGAACTTTTCATCAAATTGGCGAATTCCATTTTTTATTATGGCATTACAAACTCATAGACCTCTACACTTTGTGAAACACGCTCGGCAAATGATCGACTTGCTTGCATAACCTCATTATATCTAATGGAGCGTGGTAGTTCAGATGTTACTTTAATTTGTTCCCCAATGTCTTCAATGAAAACTCCCTTCTTTACATCCTTGGTCCAACGCTTCATTATATATTGCGGAGGGATTTCAAACACATCTTTCACCATAAAAATCTTCAGTACATGCCCTACAAAGAAGGTCCATCCTCTCAAAGAAGTGACAAGAGCAAGAAACGAAATTGTCATGGCAATTGAATTTCACTACGTAGGATTTAATTATGGTCCCCAGGACTGCCACCTTAAAAGTTGCAAATTGTCCATTGTCTTCAACTGTCTCCCTCGTAAAATTAAAGCAATTAGCCACTTCTTCCCCAAATATCTTTAAAATCTTTTGATTATATATTTTTTATACATGTGCCTCAATAAAAGTGGTTGTTCGCAAGACTGGAATAGATTGAATATCTTTCAAGTCATTTTCCCTCTCTTTTCCCACATTCTTATCATTGACTTTTGCAACAACTTCTAATAATGAACGCATGCTTGTTGTGGGTGTCAAGTACGTCTTGAAGTGAGAATTCATCCCTTCACTCCTTTGAGTAGAAGTCATACCAGCAATGAACGTGCCAGCCAAGTATACGTCAACCCATTGCATGCGACAACCATAAAGCCTACTGAGTCATTAATTGTCTTCCAGGTTATAATTATCAATCATCGATTTCCAAGCCAATTGAAATTTTTCAATAGTTGGGCTAGCCACATACCTCCGAAAGGTATCTGAATAAGAAGGATGCATACGCAACACATGACATTATTTTTTTTTTATCTTCACAAATATGTGCCACTTACAATAATGATGCTTACTTTGGTAAAGAACTTGCCTCACTGCATATGAAATTGCAAGATCTTGATCAATGAGAATTACGCCTGGTTCTCATCCAGCCATGGCTTCCAACCAGTTTTCAAATACCCATATAAATGATTCTATCTTCTCGTCAAATATGAGAGAAAATCCAAAAAACATTGCACTGAAATGGTAATTTACACCAAGTATAGGTGCAAAGGGCATATCAAACGCATTTGTCTTGTATGTGGTATCAAAGGTAACCACATCAAAAAAGCACTGGTAGGAAACTCTAGATGTAGAATCTACCCATAAAATATTGCGAATGTGATCATCATCATCTAATCTCAATCTATAGAAAAATGATGGGTTCAATTGCTTCTCTGTATAGAGCCATTGCAAAATTAAATTGTCATCTTCTCCTCTAAGTTTTCTTCTAGTGTTTGCTATTTCATTTTGAATCTCTTTTTGTGTACATGGGACATTGTCTATCCCTCCAGCCTGCTCTATGAATATGTCTAGGCTTAACCATTGTCGAGCTCATTGAATGTATCAATGACTTTGTACCACTCGACAATGATTGGTGTGTGCGAATTAGACGAGCTTTTCTTGGACTAACTAGATCATGATTATGATCTAGATCGACGCTAGTCACTTTCCACTCGTTCTACTTATGTACATCCTAACCTTGCACTCACATCTTAACTCATGGTAAACCTTTCCACTTTTATTAGGCTTTTTTTGTGTAAACCCTTCTTTGGAGCAAACAAAAACCCTATCGATCCGTTTACCTTTGTTGGTATGAGTACTGCCTTTGCGAATACCAAAACCTTTGGTGAATGCAAAAGACTTAAAAAACTCATATGGATCATCCTCTGATCCAAACTTCATTTCTACACATAGTTCCTCTATTTCTTGACTATTGTGTGGTTAGCCACTACCACCATCAAGGATTTCATCAATGCTGCTTACATTTGGGTATGTGCTACATGCCACACAAGCTGAATTTGTAGGATCCATCTCAGTTTTTTTACTTACTCAACGTGAAACTGCAAAGTACACAAATACATGTATTTAAACATTCATCATAAGAATACCAATCATATTTTCTGATATTGTGGAAAATATCAGAGTTCATACGACTCAAAAGAGTCCTACAAACAATCTTATTCCTCAGTAACAACAAATCAAACATTACAAAAAGAAGAAAAAAAAAGGTAACAGAAAATCAAACATTACAAACTGGTACTTCGAATAAAATCAAATGAAACAAAAAGAAAAAAATCAAATATTAACATTTATTCTAAAAAAAAAAAATTAACAGCGGATCATGGATTGACTCAGCCATTGAAGTGAACATATGCAAATTATTTTATCAGATAGCAAAGGAAAAACAGAACCAAGAAAGGCTTGACATTAATTCAACTTTCTTGTTTTTCTTTTCTTATTCAGGTAACAAGCAACTCATTGAAGAACAGAAGACCTCAGCCACCTAAACAAATTATATTTGTCAAAAAATCTATTAAGAATATCAATATGAAGGTTAACAAGGACACTAATGGTATGAAGGTTCTAACCAACTTTGGTATTGAAGAATCCAATCCAAATAAAGTGAAAGCAAGAGGCAGTCTATTCCTAGATTTCATGAAATAAAGAAGTTCAGTAGGACTAAAATGAGTGGCACTTGATTATATAGAACAGCTGCAGTTGTTTATATAAGGGATACTCAATGCCAAAAATTGCAACAGAATTTATTTCAATTATACTGAAATACCTAAACAAATTATATTTGCAAAAAGCTTTATTAAGCAAATCAACACTACTCACCTTCAAGAACCTTAAAAGGTAAGTTGCAGCTACAAATCAGTTTCTACTACTCAAAAGAGTCCTACAAACAATCTTATTCCTCAGTAACAAAAAATCAAACATTACAAAAAGAAAAAAAAGTAACAGAAAATCAAACATTACAGACTGGTAGTTCGAATAAAATCAAATGAAAAAAAAGAAAAATATTGAATATTAATATTTATTCTAAAAAAAAAATTGTAACAGCAGATCAAACATTATATATCTCTAAATTGTGAAAAATATTAGATCAAACATTACGATCGTATTGTAGATGTTGAGAGACCTTGATTGAATCAATGAATGCGCTCTTTTATCAATTTAATCATAGAAGATGATCATACTGGATATGGTGGGATAATCATGTTATTCCAACATTTCAATCCAGGGGGCAATGGCTGATTGCTAGAGAGAGAGCAAAAAAAAAAATTTGTTGAATGGGAGAGAGAGATGTTACTTGAGAATGGGATAATCAGGGCATTCAGCCACAAGGGGAATGCGAGATGCCAAAGGAGTGACAGGCGATTCGAAGCAGGGTATTGTCACTTTGCGCTCTCGAGACCTGCACTCTGTTTCATGGTGAACGAAATTAGGGCTTTTTTTATGGTCAAACGAAAATCCCCAAAAAAAATAAGGGCTTTTTTTATGGTCAAACGAAAACCCCAAAATTAAGGTTTTTTTATTGGAACCCCCAAAAAAAACTAGGAAAAAATGGAAATAGAAACTCCCAAAATTCGAGTTTCTCTGTATCGGACGCAAAACCATGGCGTTTTGGTTTCTATCAAAGGCGAAAACCAGGGTTGGGGGTTTTGGTTTTTATGGATTGAGAAATGGAAAAACGAGAGAGAGAGAGAGAGAGAGAGAGAGAGAGAGAGAGTTAGTATACCTTGGAAAAACGAGAGAGCAAGAGCTTGCCGCTCCAGAGAGATCGAGCACAGTGAGGGCGAGAGGAGATGGAGCGCAGAGAGGGCGAAAGGAGATAGTGCGCAGAGAGATGGAGCGCAGAAAAATTACAGAGGTGAGCTTTCACGTAGGGGGAGTGCTTGGAGGAGAGAGAAGAGATGGAGCGCAGAAAGATGGAGCACAGGAAAAATACAGAGGTGAGGCTTCGCGCAAGGGGATTGCGAGAGTAGAGAAGACCTCTGCGGGTGTCAGTATAACCCGTCAGAAAAATAATATTTTTTATTTTCGAACCTTTCGCCCGACAAGGCATCCTGGCCGCCCAAATAAGCATCTTCAATCTTGGCAGTTCGGCGCATCCTGGCCGCCCAAATAAGCATCTTCAATCTTGACCGTTCCCCGCACCTCACACCCGTGAGCGAGCCGGCTAAACTTTTATATATATATATATATATTTTTATATATATATATTGTATCCACATAAGCGATGTATATTCAGCGTGACTGCATCTATGTAACAAAAAATTCTACCAAATAAACCAAAATATTAACAGAAAAAAAAACAGCTTTTAATCAAATGAGAAAAAAAAAATCGATGGAAACAAGAGCCTTTGGGTACTTGAGTTTTTTTTGGCCCATGAATTATAGAGAGAGAGCAAAGAAGATTGAGAGATCAAAGGTGAATACATGCGTGTAGGTTGGAAGTGGGTTTTCTTGCAAAAGTTTAGAGAGAGGAAAGACAGGCGGAAAAAGACAAGCTTTTACATGAAGGAAAAAAATTATATTAGGTTGCAACTTTAAAATGTAGAACTACATATGCACCTCAAAAATCAATCAGAAAATGTTGTTTTAAAGTTGAATAACCCTCTAATTGATCCTCTCGACAACTAGATATATGAATATGGAAAAAAAAAAATTTGAGTTTCATAAATAATGCATCTTGCAACACATTATCTAGATTTTTTATTTTCAAGATTTTCATATGTTTTTAAGTCTACTTGATTTTAACCATTTTTTGAGTTTAAGTTTTTATAATTAGATATGAAAATAGATTTTAAGATAATCCTAAAAACATTTTACACCAAAATTACATCGTATGATAAAATTTGAAGGTGCACCTTAATTGGATTGTTTAAAGATGCAACCTTATAGATATCATACCCTTACAGTAAATACCGTTTTTGGTTTCCAAGCTCGGGGGAAGAAAAAAATAAAGAGGAGCATCCTCTCCACGTATTTCAAGCTTTCGGGGAAGAGATCAAGGGGCACTTTTAACCCATTAAGGATAGGGTTAAGAAAAAAATATCTAACCTACATACAGCAAAAGCACAAGATGTCGTACGTGAAACAAGCTTGTCGTGGATTCAATAACTTCAAAAAAAAAAAAAAACAAAAATAAGAAGAAGAAGAAGAAGAAGAATGTGTACAATAATATAAAAAAAGATGAAACCTAGTTTTGCTCGTGACCGACTAAAAGAAAGGAACACTTGGTTCGCCTCTTGATTTTAATCAGGAACCGTTTTAGAGAGAGAAGCTTTCTAGAAGATGTGTAATTTTTGTTTGTTTTTGTTTTTTGTTTAGCTTTCTTTCTCTCTTTGACTTCACATACTTACAGGAAGAAACTAATTCCAAATCTCATATATACTTATCCACATCACATAAACATTGCAAAGCTTTTAGAGATTAATTAATTATTTATATATTACATTTAACAAATTCATTTACAAATGGATAAACATAAATACATGGAATACCTCTCATAAGAATAGAAAAAGCCTACAAATATAAGCAAGGCAACATGAGGCCTCATTGTCACACGTGCCAACATATATTATATATTATATATTTATAGGAAAAATATAGAATCTGACCATTTACCTTCGGTACAAGATGGTCACAATTAATCTTGACCAATGGATTTGAAATTGAGTGGCTGCATTTATTCCATTGACCAAGCTCAAACTTCATAAGATATTTTTTCGAACTTTGTGACATACTTGAGCTATCAAATTTCACATCAGAAGGTTGTATGTGTTTGTGTATCAAAGGTAAATGGTCTTATTGTATACAATTCTATATTTTATATTCATTTTATTAATATAATTGTATT